TATTTTTCTCGATTGAATTATATAAAATGGCTTCATTCAAGTAAGCAATTATTCAAGCAATTATATTTTTTTTAATTAACGCAATATAATCTCATTTCAAGATTTCCATGATAAAACTAAATATATTTTCAAAATAAGTATGTCCTTTTTTTCTGTGCGTGCACACACGGTCGTGTAACAGCATTTCAATATAGAGAACTGCTAACCCAGAGTGAAATCATAAATACGCCTGAAATATTATGCTGATTGATGCAAAAATTTGCCTAGATAAAATGCAATAATTGGTCAACATGAAATATAGATATAGCAACGCCGTCCATTTAAACAAGATTAATGCATATAGATTCGCATATAGATTCAACAATCCGTATGAGGTATCAAGGTTCACAGAGCAAACATGGAGTTACAATTACTCGAAGGATTACATGAAAATCTACAGGTAAGTCTTGTTTCATTTCTTTGCGAATTATTTCATTGTATGTAGTTTGATATAGTTGTTTTTGCATTTATAATAATCTCGAATACATCAATATTCAAAAATAAAAATTGTTGTTTTTTTATTTAAATTTCTTAATGTTTTGCAGACTAACCTTTCCTTGAATCAAGATTTGCTATGGAATTTGGATTTGTCGCATTCAAATTTCGATACTATTTGTTCAATTGCAAACACTTGTGGATTCAAGGGAAACTCACAGTAGATGGAGCTAGTAAGATAATAATTCTATTACCGCTGAATTATCATGCATCAGTATTTCACAAAAATAAAGTTGATAATCTTACAAAGAGCTTGAAAGAAAAAGGTATATGTCCCTAAATTACTACAATATCTTGCACGGGAGTGCGACATGACTAGATACATTAAAATTGCACATAAATAATTAAGTAATATGATTAATTAAATCTTAATAACTAACCGAAAACAATCTAGTGAAATTACAAATTTTATTATATTACAGTTATATTTTTTATAATCGAGGAAGAAAAAACAATACATAATTTTATATATTTTTTGTTCCTTAATTTCTCTTCTTTCAATAATAATTAATATTATTAATATTAATTATAATAAATATTAATATTAATTAATAATTATTCTTATTAAATTATGAAATTATTAGCGAGAAGTTACCGTAAACATTTTTATTGTAAACTTTGTCAAAACAATTAATTTTTTATATGCAACTCCATTTGGTGATTTTCGATGTAGATTGATTGAGAGAACTAATGACATTTCATTTCATAGATTTTATTTTTGTAGACTTTTTCATTTTGTTAATAAATAGCTGTGTATATTTCGATTGATTATTAAATACTCTATTATTATACAGGGTGTTCTAAAATGTACGTCAAAAATTTAAGGAGATATTCCTCAAACCTGAAGGATGAAAAAAAATATATATATGGACATAGGTGCGGAAATACTTATTTCAGGAGTTATGTTAAAAATACTGTTAGCTGTATTATTTACAAGGAAAAATTTAGAATTAATTATTATAGACAAAAATGCCACCAGTGCGTGATATTCGAAATCTTTATAACCGTATCACTGCAGGTTGCGAGACAATCCGCTGTACGCCAGACATTTTGGAACGCGTCTGTGAATCAATGCGTCGACGTGTCACAGCTTCTATTCAGGAAAATGATGAACATTTTCAACATTTATTATAACATACTCAAGGTCACATTAAAATCAAATGTAAATAAGCCTAAGTAAACGATTGTCGTCTGCAATAATTAATCCTAAATTTTTTCTCGTGTAAGTAATACAGCTAACAGAATTTTAACATAACTCTGAAATAAGCATTCCCGCACCTATGTCCATATAACATTTTTTCATCCTTCAACTGTGAGGAATATCTCCTTATATTTTTTACATATCTTTTTAGAACACTCTGTATAGTCTACTTTTGAATACGTAAAAAACAAAAATGTGCATTAAAAAAGATGCAAGATAATGAAAAGGATGATTTTTTTGATACATTTTAATAACGCAAATAATAAGACATATAAGGAAGCCAACTTATAATAATATATTTGTGTAAGAAACATTTATGCTTTCTCGCGTATAACATTATCATTCGATATATGCAATAAAGGAATAAAAATTTTTCAAAAATAACAAAGTGCGTATCTGAACAAATATAATAAATGTGTACATATTTAAACTTTTAAATTACTATTACATATATATGCGTTGCTAATAGATAGTAAAAGAGAAAAAAATGTTCATTTTATTTTTTTATTTTACAGACCGGAGCAATTTTATACATTGAAATCTTACATATATGTATATATGCATGTAAAAAAATTAATGGACAAAACATTATTCTTTTCTGGATTTTTATTCTCATGATGTAATCGAGATGATGCATTTTACTTATTATTAATCGAATTAAGCTTTACGCAATGCAATGTCAAAATAACAAGGGCGCCGCTGTTTATCGTCTGCATCAAAATTACATAATCGAATTCTATTAAATGATTTAATTCAATGTACGAATATTTTATTTCAATTACAAAATAATTTGCGTCAAGGTATATTTTGTTCGTATTTGCATAAAATATTACATCCGAAAAATGTAGATATATTTATATGTGTACTACGAAACTGGATATGTAAATATCACATAAATTGCATCAGTACAAATAAAATAATGACAATTTATTTAGCATTTACACATTACAAATAATATATCATTTTCAAATTTCCATATTACGTGTAAGTTTTATGAATATTTTCTTATTAAAGTATATTAAAAAAAAAAAGAACGTTCAACATTGTAATCAATGTTTAGATTCACGATTTCAGAGCGCTGCTATTATTATTAAAACGAAATCAGTAACGATCAGGACGCAAATTATACAAATACAAAGAAAACATACTTTGACGTAAATTATTTTATAATTGAAATTGTACGGCACGAAATATAAAGAATGTTTTGTGAGGAAACGGATGTTGTCGTATCATTTCCTTAACTTTTTGTTCGCTTTGTCCATATGTGCTATAAAATTTTAATAGTTATAATTAAAATCTGTTAATAAACTTTTATTGTATGTGAAGCATAAAAATAGGAGCAAAGACAATTTATGATTTCTGTTAACAACAAAAAACAACGTAAAAACGAAGAGAACGGAAATCTGATTAAATTATAAGTGTATTTTTTGGGTAGAATACAAAGTCGACATTAAAGAAATTATTTTTGTCACACATAGCCAACGCATTCTAATTTATATAAAATGGAAAAGGAGCGACAAATATCTATGGTCTACGGTCTCGGTAACTTTCTTCATGTTACATAAATATTATTATATAATTCTGATAAATCTCAATAAAAGAACTCCAATACTCAGGTTTATCTCTTATGACTTATTATTTAATACTTATTATCTTTTTGGAGAGTAGAGATTTTTATTTATAAGAAAAAATGGACGAGGCTAAAAAATTAGAAAAGATTGAATTTATAGTTTCTGCACCAGACAGTGTTATTTTATACGGAAAATATTTGGCAATATATGGTAAACATATTATAGCGAGCAGAATAGATCTTCGTATCACGCTCAAATTCCACCAATATCTCTAGAGTCAAGAATCATTAAGATAGAATTTCCTGATGTCCATATATCGTTAGACATACCTTTACAAATGATTGCAAACTTCATTTCCGACGAGAATTTTAATTTAGTTGTCGATGTTTATATTCTGTTCTTTAAACACGTGCAATGTTTTATCACCTTAAACGTCTGTATTGCACATTCTTGTTTTTATCTTTAGTTTTATGAGAGTAAGATTTCGTAACAAGGATCAATAAAAAAATAAATAAATAAAAACCTAACCATTTCGAATTATCTTTTGAGACATTGAAGTTAATATTACATCTTATTTAATTAATTATATTAAATTTAATGCAACGCAATCTATATAAAACAATAAAAATAGCACAGTTAAGTTTTTGCGGTAAGATTATAAAATGAAATAAAATTAAATGACATAATTCAATAAACAGTATTTGTGTATATATTGTGTATATACACATATTTTTTTATTTTTTCCGTATAAAATATTGCATGCATGTACTTAAACATATTTAGATGTATATATGCAAAACTCGTGCATATTGTAAAATTGCTATATATGAAATATTATTTTAAATACAGTGAGATAATGACAATTTGTTCATAACATTGAAGTAATGTATTATTTTTATAATTATGTCTGTTTTAATAATTTCTTATAAAATTATTGAGAAAATTTGACATTGAAGTTCATATTTAGAATTATGATTTCGAGGCATTGTTATTATATTTAGGAAAAATCAAAAACGATCGAAACGTATACAACAAGAAATATAAACGTTGTCTTGCTCGAGAACGAACGTTTCAAATTTTTATTGTCAGTAACTATTTTATTTGGTCCATGATAAGGATTCAATAGATGAATATGTATCATTTCGATTTACATGTAAAACCTTGAAAGAAGAAACCAATTACGATTAATCTGCTGATAAAGGAAGAGCAGGAAATCGAGAATTTGATTAAATATATTCCCTTTGTAAGTATATCAATTTGATAATAAGTATTGACGACGAATTTCTTTTTGTTACAAATCTGTAACTCATATTATACATTTGTGCAGAGTGATAAGGAGCGACAAATATATCATATCTTCGTCACATGAATACGTATGAATACATATCTCGTAGCAAATACATTTTGCATGGTTTTAATAAATAGAAGGCACGCAAATTTATTTTTCTGCGCTCTACTGTTGAACGATACTGTTTGCAACTTCCATTTCTTTGAAAAAGCAAATTCTTATTCATAAAAAGGATGATTCAATTTAAGATTTCCGCACCGGGTAGAATTATCTTAAGCGGAGAGTATGCGGCGATATATGGAAAAAACTTTGTGATGACCAATTTAAATCATCGTACTACGCTTCAATTCGCCGAATTAATTAAATATAAATTATTAAGAGACATTTGTAAGATAGAATTCCCTGATGTTGGTTTATTATTGTATTTACCTTTGGAATTAGTTAAAAATTTTTTCCATAGTTATGATATTATTGGCACGAATAGTGTCCGCTTGTTTAAATATGTGCAATACTTTATTACCGTCAACGGTATGTGGAGTACATATGAGCAAAGATTTAGTTTACAAATGTTTTTTTACTCGCTTTTTTTTATCGGTCATCGAGAGCAACTCGATATAAGACCTTTTTGTGTACACGTGAAGACGGAAATACCGATGCACGCTGGTCTTGGCAGCACGACATCGTTCGCAGTATGTGTCGCGGCATGCTTTCTACATTGGTCGCGTCTACAGAGAGGTGATCATAATGAATTTAGTTTTGATGAATTAGTACTGATTGGGACATGTGCCATGCAATGCAGGAAACCTATATGTAACACTACGTATCTGACGGACATTATTGTATGTTTAAACAGTAACATAGCTATAAGATGTAAATTGCTTAATTGCTACTTAGCTTACAATAGATCCGATTTATTAACGCCAGAAAAGAGAATTCTTTTGATCGATTCGACTGTTTGCCAGAATAAGTACCAGCAAATAGAGTGTGTGGCACAATTAAAACGTTTTTATCCCGAGATTGTCGATCGCTATTTGAATACAATAGATGAAATATCAAATAATATTTCAACAAAGTTAGCATTAGATGATCAGTTCGATACATTACAGGTATATTTTTTTCACTTCTTTACAAGCAACAATATTACTTCGTTATATAATGTTTTTGTGTAATATCATCAAAATGATGTGCAAATATAATTATCCGATACAAATGCAGTATTGTTTTTTAATTTATATTTTTTAACACTTTATAGAATTACATTCAAATGAATCAACATGTGCTATCTGAGTTAAATTTGTCGAATGAAAAATTGAATGATATTTCCGATATTGCATATGTTTATGGTTACGTGGGAAAACTTACAGGTATTGGTGAAAGGAAATTTGCATATATTTTGCTACGACCGGGTATTTCAGAAGAAGAAATTGGTAATATTTCCGCACACCTGAGAGAGTCAAATTTTCCTGTTACGGTAACTAGCATAAGTTGTGACGGAATAAGAATTGAGGATTAATATTAAATTTATCGATTTATAATTATATAAATAAATAAATAATAACAACAGCTAACAATAAATGTAAACAAAATTGTGGCACAATTACTAACTCAAGTACTGTTTCAAAGAACAACATGCACTTTTGTTTAACATATTCTTTTATTTAAAGTTTGTTGTTTGTGATTGACACCGTATTAAATTACGAAGTTCAAAATGAGGACTAATTGAATATTCTAAAATATGTCGAATACGTCGATATTAGTTTCTTCTTTCGTATGCTATCCCTTTATTTCGAAAGTGCAAATTGAACAAAGATGTTGCCAAGATAATAATGCGAGGCGATAAAACATACCGCAGTCTTTTTCAGTTCGCAAATTAATAGATATACATAGGATTCATAATTCAAGTTTATAAATTACATAATGCTATTACTGAATAAAAAGTGGGTCAATTAGTACTAGATTAGTACTAAATTATATTTTTTTTCGTAATAATTAATAAAGAATTAGTAAAATAGAATTCATGAAATAAAATTCATTTGATATTGTTTTTTAGGCGGATAATGTTCATAGCTGTACGGTTAATAATGCGCGTGACTATATTTTCTCTGCTGCGTAGTTTAAGGTTTTTCGACTCATTTTCCATTTTTTAACAAATAACAATGTTATGTAGTTCGAAAGCAAATTATGAAATACATTTTATATTTATGATCAATTATTATATATGATTTAATTTTAGACACATATGGATTGGTTATACATGTATTTATTATATTATTAATCCATAATAATAATAAAAAGAGACCATTTTCGATATATTTTATCACTGTCCAATAAAATGACATATGAAAAGAGCTAATAAGCTCATAAAATGACAATAAGAAGCTTATTTTAATAAATTGCTAAAAGAAATTATCTATTTCTTTATTATTACTTAACACGGATTTAGTAAAACAACAGAAATCGCAATAGTGATAAAGTTTCGAATAAATATATGAATTATTTATAACTTATTATAAATTTATAATTTATAAATTTTTTAATATATTTAAAATCATAATTTATCATTATATATGAGTTATAATTATATATATATATATATATATATATATAATTATATAATTATATGTACATATATATTATCACAATTATACATATATATATATATATATAAATATAATTATAAATACATGTGTTATAAATTTATATAAAATATAATTATATAATTTATATAATTATAGAAAAATAATAATATATAAATATAAATATTAATTATATATAAATATATAAAAATTATATATAAATATATAATTAATATGTGAATTATTTATTAATTATATAAGAATTAAAAAGCAATAGAAAATTTCGATTTTGCGATTTTTAATAATAATGCGTTCTGCAATAATATGGAAAATGACTATTTTGCTATGACATAAAATACTTTTATGTATTATTATAAGAAAATTAGTATTGTACAATAAATAGAGATAAAGAAAAAAATATTAATCACCTTTATTCCATTTCTATTTTCAGTTTTTTATATTGAAAATTTATCTATTTTTAAAAAAATAAATAGAAAGAGGTAAAATTACATCCTGCTCCGTACCGTGATACGTATTATTGAGTTGAATTAAGCTTTATGTATGTACAAATGCGATCTGTAAAATAACAAACATAACGCTATTTATCATTTACGTCAAAATTATATGATTAAGAACTAACAGTACAGTTAAATCATGTAGTTTGAATAATGTAGGTGTTGCATTTTCGATTATCTTTATCATTTATATTGATTAACAAAGTTAAAGTAAATTTTTATTTGTAATAGATATTGTGTACATATATTGTAATATTGCTTAAATATCACGTACATTATGTCAATGCGAATGAGATAATTTTAATCAAAAATGACACATTTAATTATTTTCTGATTATTTACAAATATATATAAATATATTACATATACGTTTGAATGACTTTTGATGAAAGCATTAAGAAACTTTAACATCGATATTGAAGTTCGCGCCTTGAATATATTGTTATTGTTGAAATAAAATCAGTCACGAGACATACCGCGAAGATACCACGTAGTGATATATAACACGAGAAAAGCTCTTTTTGGGGTAAGAAACATTAGAATAAGCTCTCTTTTTTATTTGTAATATAAAATTTTAAATTAATTATAATATATATTATTCTTTGAGAACTTGAAAGAAGAAGGATAATTTTTGTTATTTCGATAACAATAGGAAAAGATAATACTTGTGACTGAATCTATTGAAGCTTATTGAAGAGTAGATATTTTTATTCGTAAAAAAAATGATTAAATTTAAAGTTTTCGCACCAAGTAAAATGATGTTATGTGGAGAATACGTGATGATGTATGGAAAACATGTGAACCAGCCTAGATCTTCGTACTACCCTTAAATTCGTTGAATTAATTGATGATCCAAGAAACATTATTAAGATTGAGTTTCCCGATGTCAATCTATCATTGAATATCTTTGGAATTAATTCTAAATTTCTTTTTTACTGATAATTTTCTTCCTCTGATTGAAGACGATATTGTATTGCATAATCATGTGCAATATTTTATCACCTTAAACGCTTTATAGAGCGCATATGAGGAGAGATATAGTTTGCAAACATTTCTTTTCCCGTTTTTTTACATTGCTCATCAAGAACAACTCGATATAAAATCTTTTCGCGTGCGCCTGGCTACCCAATTACCGATCAACGCTGGTTTTGACAGTTCGACATCGTTCGCCGTATATCTCGCGGCATGCTTTCTATATTGGTCATATCTGCAGAAGGGTATTCACAATGATTTTGATGACTATGAATTAGAAAAAATCATGTTATCTGTGAAAAAGTTGTACAAAACTATGTGTTTTGGATTGATAATAACAGGTGCATATATGGCCAAGTATTGAGAGCTCAATATCAAAATCCATTAAATTGTAATGTTAAATTATTGCAAGTGCCGAGAATTAAAATTTTATTGATTGATTCGAGAATTCGTCGGAATAAATACAAACAGATGATGCGAATGGCACAAATGAAACATTCATCCCGATAAGAGCGATTATTTTTTGCGTAAAATCGACAAAATATCGAAACGAACCTGCCAGACTCGTAGCAATTAATAATAGCCAGAAATAATAACAATTTGTAACAATTATACGACTCGTACAGATTGTTAGGAGTAATTGTAAGTATATTTTTTGATAATTTTTTTTTATATTACTTTGTTATATATTTTCGTGCAATGCCAAAAGATTTAAAAGATTTGCAAATACATAATAATATGATATAAATAATATCGTTTTTAAATTTAGATTTCTTAACGATTTTCAGATGTCCATTTTATCGAATCAAACTATACTTTATAGATTAGGTTTATCACATCCCGAGTTAGATATGTTTAATTGCGAGAAATAATGGATTCGCAGGAAGACTCACAGGTTTTGATGGATATGCATATATCCCGTTACCACCGAATACTCCAAGAGAAAACATCATAAATCTTTCGACACATTTAATAATGGAAGATTTCATTGTTAGAATGACTAGCGTAAGTTATAATGGTGTGAAACTTGACGAGGTATAGAAAAATTATCAGTTGTATGAACAGTACGAATAATTATCAATAATTTAATTAACATGAATAATTAACATTAAGTATAAATAATATAAAATTTCAATTTAAATGCGATATGATATAAATGGAAAAGAACAAATAATATATAATATATTCTATTAAATTAGAAATTCTTGGTCTCTTCTGGTCTACCTAATGCCGTATTGAATTATAAAATTGGTAAGTTGGAATCACACTGTTAATATTTTTATTGTAAAATATTGTACATTTAAAAAATTAATTTTTCATAAATTGTCTCACTCGCGATGAACAAAATAGATTGATTGAAAAACGATATCTTGTCAAGTTATAAACAAAAAAATATACCGAAGATCTTTTTTCGATTAATAAATTGTTGAATTAATTGTATATCTGAATGAACATGCATATAACTTACTTTCGGTAGTGTAAAGTATACGTAGATTATTTATGTATTTATTATTTTATTAATTATAATTGACTAATAAGAATAACAGAAAGAAGGGAAAATTAAAATGCCATAAATGTCTTTGGTATATTTTTTATCAATCTATATCACAGAAACCAAGCATAATGGTAGGAAAAAACTAATTTCTTAAAAATTTTAACTTATTTTGTAAAAAAAATATTTAGACGTATTTTTGTTGTATTAACATCATCATTAAATATGGCTGTAATAAAAAGTATGAATTTAATAGTAGTAAAAGTAACAAAATACATGTTTGTCGAATTATTACATAAGATGGCGAAAAATATTGTTATTAATACGTCATAATATTATGAAAAATATTTATATTATTACGTACATTGTGATATATTATATATAATATAAATATTTATATATTATTACGTAAACTACAATTATATATAGACTTGTATATTGCGTAAAGATAAAGATCAAAAGAAAAAAAAATTATTTTTATGTTTTACCTTTATTTCTTTATAGTTTAGAATTTCATTTAATTGTAAGTAAAGTTAGTAAAAAAGTATCATCATCCTGCTTCGGATTTCGACTTTCGAGCCGGAGTTGATGATGCATTTTACTTAATCGAATTTACATAATGCTATTTATAAAATAACGATAGCGCTGCTTATTCTTGTGTATCAAAATTATATAATTACATTAAACAGGTAAACAATATAATTCAAAATAACACAGCTAATACTATCTTTTATGATACATCTTAATTATATAATAAACGACGTCGAAGAATATTTTTCTTAGATACATATATATGTAAAACTGTGATAATAAAAATGTAGGTAAATTGTATCAATGCAATTTATATAATATGTGACAATTTGTTTGAATCTAACATTGCAAATAACATATGATGTCAGATTATGTAAAAAAAGTAAATATATTTAGTACGATCCTTCTTGAAAAACTTCGGCCATGTAGTCAATATTTTGGTTCGCATATTCGGAGCGCTTGCTTGAGAATTTCACGAGACAGAATCAGTCATGATCGAAACGCGGCTTGAACAACATCAAAACCTAGCGGTAACGTCTTAAATAATTTGTATTATTAGTAGCTCCTCTTTTTCTAAGATATTAATAATTTTAATAGTTGTTTAATAGTAAATATATTGTATTCTCTCAAACTTGTGTGTAATCCTGATAGAAGTAGCGAAGACGAATTATGACAGAGAATTCAGAAGATTTTAGTTCGCAGAGAATAAAAACAATTGGAAAGAATTAGAATCCGACTGGATCTAAGTGAACTTTTTTGTTTTGTATCGGTATAATTCAATAATGTATTAGTGACACATTACTTTTGTTATACATATTTAACGCATTATGTTACGCACCTTCAACTTATTAAACGATTATTTTCTCGATGACTTTTTTTCACATCAAATTGTATAAATAAAAATACATTTTCTAATATCTCTAAAAGTTGCGGATTTAAAATTTTATAACAAACAGTGCATCTTTTGACAAGTAGAGATTTTGATACGCAGAAAGTATGACTACATTCCAAATTTCGGCATCGCGTAGGGTTTTCTTATGCGAAGAGCATACAGTGATGTGTGAAACAAGTTGTGGCCTCTTAAATC